ACCAACCAGACCAGTATGGAAATAGGCCTCACTTTGTTCTCCGCCGAGGAGACGTAACTGGGGCGGTTGAAAGAACGGACAGTTGAATAAATGAAGCAATAAATCTGATGGATGCTGATACATAAACAACTTCACAAAGGTGAGATTAGTTACAGAAGAAGAAGAAAAAAACTCATCAGTGTTAAGCTTTGGAAGAAGTATGCAATCCTTCTTCATTTATAAGTTCACATGCCACACCAGATATCTCGAGAACAGCTTCGTGGCTTTGCACAGCCCCTCCTTGTTTTCACACCACAGGTCTCTGAGGGGCGAGAGAACAGAGTTTCTCTTCTCAGGAAGTATCGAGATCCTCGTATACGGCAGAAGCGGGACTCGCATCGGTTCACTCTTGGTACTGAGGGTTTGTTTGAGCAAAGAATGTGATACCATATGCAGAGTAAATGGGATTTGAGTCTTTAGTGGCCACGAATTTATTGAAAATATACATCAGTTCTATTTACTTTGGGGCGCGGGGGGGGGGGGCTAAGACGGGCTGTAGGAATCCAGTGGACGAGCTCGCGCAGAGATGGGAGTGAAAAGAGCCAATCATTGCTCTGTGAAGAATTAAAACCACCTCTGCAAATAGCCCCAATATTTGTGTAGTGCCTCAGAGTGGGAGTTTCACAGCGTCTGGGTTTCCAGTGCAAATAAACAGTGCAGAGGTCTACAAGGGTAGAACCCCCCCCCTATCCCAGAGGTGAAGCCCACCCTTTGGTGCTCCCTAATCTAGGCCACTCACTATTGAGTAGGATGAAAAGTGGATCTGTGTGTGTGAGTGTTTACGTGCTAGTGTGTGAGTGACACATCCACAGTCCTCAGATGAAGCTGTATAATAATGTTTGTATGTGGTTCTTAAATCAGAGACGCTGGGCCTGTGGAGACCACCGCTGTGTTTGCCAGTTCCCAGATAACCCACATCTTCACACTGGACCTACACATACCAACGCCAGGATCCTCAGCGAAGAGTACACTGACAAATATCAGCACTGCTGACCAACAACTCTGCATAACCCAACAGTACCTGCTCACTCGAGTGCATGATGAATAGAGGAGGATGTTGAAGCAGTCGGTAGAGGAAAGCGTAACTTGTTCACCTTACTTGAAATACATCCTTCTGTCACTGCGTCGTATGGATCACAGATTTTTTATTCATCCTGAAGTTCACGGATTCACGATGATACTACTTTAAAGAGCTGACCTTTCTTTAGATGCTTTCAGATTTGCTATTAAGTCCGGCCATTATGCTTCTGGAGGGGCTGTAATGGCCAAGCAACATTTTCAGGAACTTCTCATGCCAGTAAAATGCAAATGTATTACTTTGGTTTTTGGTTTGTTTTTTGGGTCCTCTCAGTATCTATTCTGTCTGTTCGTTTGGTCCCTTTCAGGTCTGCTCTCTCTCTCTGTTTGGCAGGTTGGGGTATTTTTGGGGGGGTTTCCACAAGCTAATTTCAGACAGGATCAGACAAGACATGAAGAAGTTGCAGGGATGATTTTACTTGGCTGAGGATTGTGTGGTTCTTATTATGACATTAGAGAATATCCTAATTTTATTCCTTTTACAGTAAAATGACAAGACAGATGTATACGTTCTCAGTGTTCCTGTACAATATGAATCATTCTGCGTGAAGGGGACGAATAAAAAGGTGTAAATACCTGAGTGAGACTTATGTAAACAGTCAGTAAATACAGTAAAACTAACAAACCATCTCCATGCCATTTTTAAGTACAGTGACATGAAAATGAGTGGGTTGAAATAGTGCCTTGGCAAATGACTCACAACTTATCATAAAATATTTAGTAAGCTGCTCCCGCTGTAAACTTGGCAGAATCCCATATCTGAGGTGGAGGAAGAGGTTTTTAAGCATTGCCACTCTTCATGGACACTTCAGTCGTGCAAACTTTACAAAAAACACTGTGGTTGATTCTGTTTTTAAACAACCTTAAATCACACTTAGATATTTAGTCATCTCAAGGGTCACAGTGAAATTATACCTGAACAACTCCTGGGATGGGTTTAGTCGGACCGGTAGAACACACACATCAGCTTGATGGTTCTTTCTGGGTCTTTTCAGTCATGAGCCCGAGAGGTGAAGGGATCCACTGCTCAGAACAACGAAGGTTACACAAAGTTTACATTGCTCCTGAAACCTGGATTCATTTTCTTGTTCCGTGTTTCTTGAACATGCAGCCTGAAGTCATAAACTACCAACTATGTGTTTAAGGTCAAAGGTCAAACAACGGGGAGGCAGAGAGGAAATTATTTCAGTCGCTTTTTCTCCTTTTACTGAAAGATTGGTTGATAATTAGATTTTTTTTTCATAACTCAATAATGAACTTTGCAAACTTCTTTATTAAAAAATATCAAGTAAAGATGGGAGCGTATCACCATATTATAGCTTGGATTGTGTTATTAACCTTTGTGCAAACTTTCTGGTATAATTCCATTATTTTTGGAAGGATCTTTGAAGCCTCGTTGGTGAAGTCTGTTTTCAAGCACATCCTGAAACTTAACCTGTGACTTGTGCAAGCGCCTCATTGGTTAGGAAGGACGATGGTTTCAAAATGTCAGCAGGTTGTGGACAAAGATTTTCATGCATTTCTGTGATTCACCTGAAATATTTGGATGTATTTCAACTTTATTTTGAAGCAACAACGACATTTGAATACACCTTTATTAAAACTGATGTCATAACATGGAAGTAATGGTCAGTGTGTGAAACGTACATGTCGGTCGATGACGGATTTGTCAGTGACACTCAGCGATTGTTAGTTTTCTCAGCTGCCAGTAAGAAAGTTCCCTCAATAAGTGTAGCGTCAAAAGTCTGATTATATTCAAACTACTGTGATTATAACGAGGACTACTAAGATAACTAATCATTACAAGTTCTGTGAGACAGACCTTTAAAGTCTCCCAGTGCGTGTGTAGCTTACTGACATGTCCTCAGAACATGAGTTATTATCCCAAATCATGTCGGAGCATCTGCAGGAGGGATCCATTTGTTGCTAAGCAACAGCTCAAGCTCACAGCACGCTAGCTACACAGTGATGTTTAAAATTTGCCATACTTTTTGACTTTAGGGCAATTTATTCTGCTGTAAATAATAGGAAATGTACTAAAATTGATTTGTAGGTCATTCTAGACACGAGACAATTTTATGTTACAAATAAACACATGAATAATTAGAGCAAAACCAAAGGTTAAAATCAAATCAGGAGACACAAACACCTATACATACAACATGATAGCTTCTCTAGATCATGTCACTGACTGATTCAATATCCTATATACATTTATTTTAAGCTTTAAAAAAATACCTTACCTTAAGGCGATTTAAGTACCGGCCCTCACATTTAACATCTTTCTCTGGATCTATAATAGATCCAGTAATAAAATGATCAGCTCTTTTCAGTCATGACGTGGCTGTAGCCGATTCGTCAGGCTCATATCACATGACCCTCTTCCGGAAGAAAACAATAGGCATTAGCTTTGGTAACCAGAGTTGAGCCCAACATGAATAATCAGTTACAAAAAAAAAAAAACAACTAAAAGACTGATCTCTTACCTTAAGGCGATTTAACGACCAGCCCTCGCATTTAACAACCTCCTGATAAATCAAGTAATAAAACGATGATGTCTAGAAACTGGTGAAACCTGGTGCACTTGTTCTGGGGAGAATCCAAAATAAAAAATAAAATCCTTGAATTGAAATGTGAATTAACAAATGGTGGAAACCAACACATGCATGTTTGGATGAAGATGTGGACAGAGGAGTGGACTCATGTTTGATGGAGGTAGAAGCTTTGTTTTGCAGCACATGTTTGCATGGGGGAGGGTTGGATCAAACTGATATTTAGCCCCTGCTGGCTCTTTTCTTTTTTCCTTTTGTTTTATGCACGGCTCTTTTTACCACATGGTCCTGACAGATTGTTTGAGCTGAAAGGAAAAGCCATTGGAAGCTAATTAAGCAGCCATTCCGCTCCGCTCAGGCAGCGGGAGGAGCGCAGCCATTTGTCAGCGCGCGAGACCAACGTGGCTTTAATTGACAAGCGGGGCTCCTGACTGACAGCTTCTCCGGCGCTCGGCCAATCGCGGGCCGCGCAGGGAGACAGCGGCCACGCCATTGGACGGAGAGCAGCGGAGGGGAGGGGGGAGGAGGAGGAGAGAGGGAGAGGAGGCGGGGAGGACCCACGTGGGGACGAGCTACAGCCAACAACACGTGATAGGCCGAAATCCTGGAGTGTGGTAGCTGACCTGCTGATGAAGATGATGAAGATGATGAAGATGCTAATGACGATGAAGCTGCTGCTGCTAATGAAGATGATAATGATGAAGATGACGATGCTCCTGATGAAGATGAGGCTGATCGCTGTGATGAAGATGAAGCTCCAGCTCAGACACATCTGGATCAGAGCTCATCGATCAGCTGCTGGATGAACAGCTTCTCTTCTTGTCTCTGCATCACGTTAGTTTTCTGTTCGACCTGAGAGCACAAAGTTTTATTTCTGGGTTCAAACTCCAGACGAGCTCCAGATAAGATCTGATCACACATTCAACACATCGGAGCTCATGTTCCCACACTGAACCTCTAATGATGGAGGCGCCCCCCCCCTCTGCAGGAGCTGCTAGTTTATTGATCAGACTATAACTGCAGGTAGACGCTGGGCTGCTTCACATGTGATTCACTCACATGTGAAGAACATGTTCAGGGGGGGGGGGCTCTCGTGTGTTGCTGGGCGTCATGTCTCAGATTGAATGATCCGGAAGTTTCATTTAAATGATGTTTGACTTTACTTGATTGGTTATTGGTTATTGATCACTGGTTACTGGTTATTTGAAGAAGCTGCTGAAGAGTCACTGCAGATCCAAAATGGCGAAAGGGGGGGGGTGAGGTCACGGATCGCGGACCAATCGCAGCGTCGCGTCGCTAGTGCCCCCCACGTGGGAGAGCCGCGCCGCGATTGGCCGGCGCCGCTGAGCGTGTCCGCGGGCCGTGATTGGCTGCTCGCGCTGTGGGCTCCTCGTGCCAGGGAGCAGTGTGTGTGTGTGGTAGCGCGAGCGGCGGAGGAGCAGGTTCGAGCTCGCGCTGTTTCAGCAGCGGAAGACATTTTCTCTCAAAAACGCGACGAGGAGCTTTAAACAATCCACATCTGGAGTTACCGGAGGGTTCCGCCGCTGCCGCTGGATCTAACGCCCGCTTTCTGCGAACTTGTCCGCGGGCAGCAACTCGTCCACGGACCGAGGGGCTTCCGACGTTCAGCCGGACGGAGCGACGCTCTCCGCCGCGGGTCACCGACTCTCACAGGCGAAGAAGAAGAAGAAGAAAGAGACACGGAAACGGACATTTTTTCCCCAGCTCCCACCGAGAGGATATTAAGTTTCGTGTCTGGATTATTTTCTGTACCTGAGACAAAGGTAAACACGGAGAGAGGCGCTAACGAGGTGGAGGGGGAGGTGGAGGAGGTGTTGTGGCTTCATGGCAGCGGCTCCTTGTTTTCTGATCTTCCCGGACACCGAACCACCCCCCGTGTGTGTGTGTGAGTGTGTGTGAGAGTGAGAGAGTGTGTGAGTGTGTGTGTGCTCCTGTTCGTGGAAGACAGATTTTACGAGAAAAACCAAACATGATGTCTTTCCGATTAAAACTCTCAACTTCGGGGTTTTTATTCATTTCACTGCCATGGTTGTTTTTTCTCTTCCTCCGCGTGGGAGACAGATTTAGATTTTTGGTTTTTTTCATTAAACACTTAGTTTTTATGATGTTTAGATGTGAGGAGGTGAAGTTCCGGTTCGTGTCGGAGTCCAGCTCCTCAGCTGTTCCCCCTGTTTTTCTGTGTGTTCAGGTACAAACCAGGTGATAACATCCAGCCGTCGGGGTCTGAGGGCGCCGCCTCGCAGCCGAGAACAAGGCTTTGTCCGCCGCCATCGTGCGTGTGCGGGGGAGGGGGTGGCGGTGATTTTCCCGCACCTTCACTGGGACTACACACAGACACAGAGAGAGAGAGAGAGAGAAACCACGCAGATTATCTCGTGTTAAGGAGCCGACATGTATCCACAAGGCCGGCATCCGGTAAGTAGCTGTCTTTGTCACTGTGAATTGATGCAACCGCACCGCCCTTCACAACAGCCTAATTAGCTCGTCAGAGAGGAGCTGCTGATCCACACCTTACTATTTATGGTCTGCACCGCTCCGGTAACACACAAACTGGGAGATCGTGTTTATTGGCAACAAGATCAGAGATTTTGGTTTAACTGTGGAAAGCAGATCACCGTGTCCTCCTTCTGGAAACACTCTTAATTCCTCTGCTTGTTGTTGTTGTTGCATGTTTTAGTGCTAAAAGGTTAATTGTGCTTGTTGCACAGCAGACACTGAAATCCCACAACTGTGTTTGATTTAGAGCCCCCCCCCAACCCCCTCCGTGTTCTCCTCTGCTCACCATGTAACATTACTTTGAGGCTGGATGAAGTGACCCTCCTCTCTGTCATGGCACATGTTGTTGAGTGAAAGCGGCTCCATCCTCCGCCAGTCAGGGCTCAGGGGAAATGTGAGGACAAACCATCAAGAGAAAGAAAAGAGAGAGGAGGGTGGAAGTGGCAGGAGAGACAGATGAGACTATTATCCTGGCTGTGATGGTGCTACTTACACCTGTGGTATTTCCAACCTTGCACTTTTCAGGCACCTCATCAGCCAGGGCAGCCTGGCTTCAAGTTCACGGTGGCGGAGTCCTGCGACAGGATCAAAGATGAGTTTCAGTTCCTGCAGGCCCAGTACCACAGGTAATGATTGGCCCCCTGTAAACAACACTGTCTTCCTGGAAGGAAGAGGAAGACGCCTCTGTTTTGTTCCATTTTGTAGCTTCACTCGCCAATTCTACACTAATGAAGCACAACAATGTCTATGTTCTATACTCTGTTTGTCTCGTGTCCATAAATCAGTGTGTTCACTCTGATTGTTTAACCATCACCAGATATTAAACACTTTTCTTCTTTCTTTCTTCAGCCTTAAAGTGGAGTACGACAAACTGGCCAATGAGAAGACAGAGATGCAGCGTCACTACGTCATGGTAAGAGCGATCGTCATAAAGCTGTGAATCTGATTTAATAGCATATCCTCCCTTTTGCCTGAGGTGAACAGTCACAGGTGGTGCAGCCCCGGTGTTTTGCAGAGGCCATGTTAGCATTTGTTCCTGCTCAGTGCTGTTGACTCACACCTGTGTTTTCATTGGATAAGGAGGTGCAGGGTGGGGGTGTGCTGAGAGGCAGTCGAGACTCTAGCAGGGGTCAAATGTCCAACTATTGATTGTGTGGTGTGACGACCCCCCCCCGTGGCTCTGGCTCAGGGGTCTTCTTTATGGCCCTACGCCACCCCTCCCTAACACACCCAACATGACCCATTGGGGGTTAATGACTGGTCGGCTGGCTTTGCACATGAATCAGAGTTTCCTGTACTCTTTTCTCTTTTTTTTCTTTTAAATTCTCCTAAGTTGAACCGTGCGCTCGTTCAGACACTTTAGACACACCCAGGGGTTCATAGATATTAGGTGACTTATGTCTTTTTCTCCAACCATAAAGATAACAGAGTGCTTTCTGGGGCAGGCGTTTTCTCCTGATAGGTATTTGATTTCCATCAAAGCCGCGTGGCAGGTTAAATGTAAAACGGCTCCAAAACTGCAATTAAATCATATTACATTCAGTTCAGGGCTCCCCGGTGATCAGATAGAGACAATGAAATCTGTGCCTGTGTCACAAAAACTCAACTCAAAGGTTATTTCTGATACCGTAAAAGCTGCATTGTGTGCACGGAAAAAGAACAACCTTTATCTTACAGGTGATGTGACTAAGAGCTCAGTTGTAGTTTGTGTATGTGTGTGCTTATCTTGTTTGTACATGCAAGGAATTACTTAAACCAAGCGCAACAGTACGTTTGTTAAATATTATTTTCCCTGTGAGAAAGCAGAAGGTGGTGGGAGTAGCTGTAATAAATGGAAACTGTTTAGTGTGTGTTTGATAAACAAGACAAACTATTAAGTCTCAGTTTGCATCTGGTGGTGGGCTCACAAGCTTTTGGCACTCTGCAGCAGATAATGTTGTTTTCAATAATAGCATTGGCTTTCCTCTTGGTTTCTGAAGCCATAGACACTGCTTGTGCTCAGCGAGTGGCAGCCAAGCGTCTGTTTGCAGTACTTGCAAAAAGTACATGCAGTTTTCAACCTCTTTGGTTAATCAGTCCGTGTGTTTTTAAAGCTTCACTCATGTGCTGCAACATGTAGTCGACTTCTCTTTTGTTGTTCGTGTCACCACCACATTTTTTTCACAGCTTTGATGCACTAACACTCTCTGTTCCTCAGTCAAGAAAAGTCAGATTCCTATTTTGTGTTGTGCATGCAGTGTATAATGTACAAATTAAAGTGCATCATTGAAAAGCTTTGAAACATTCATGTTTTCTCTTCTATTTCACAGTACTATGAGATGTCCTATGGGCTCAACATTGAGATGCACAAACAGGTATGTAGCCATATCAGTGATGGTCTATTTATAGCCAAAACACTGTTGTTTTTTTTCTCATTGGTGATTGAGGAACACACCTTCTAACACACACATCCCCGACCTTAGTTTCTGCCCTCATCCTTAAATGGCATACACACACCGGCTTCCTGTAGTGAAAATGCTGACAGGCTAAACAACACGGAGGGCACGTTGCCTGATGGGGATGGTTTGATAAGATTAAAGAGAAGTATTTGGCAGACAGTCTGAGAAAATGTGGTTTTGTGTGGTTTGTCCTTCTGTGTGTGTGTGCGTGCGTGCGGAGACATGTCTGCACCATTGTGTGTCTGCCTCCCCAGTGCCAGCTGGGCTAAAAGCTCATTAGTTCAGCTGCCACCCAGCACCGGGCATCATGCTGCAGTGGAAAGACTTCTCCTGATGAACAAGCCTAAAATACCACCACACCCCCAATGAGTAGTTTCAGGCGACATCCACACCTTTTTGTTTTATAACTGTTTTAACAGACGTAAACGAAATAAGAGTGATGCGTTTTCAAACTAAAGCATAGTGGTGTGGATTCAGCATCAGCAGACTGGAGACACGCAGAAAAATGGGGGAGGTATTAAAATAATTTTAGCTGTATTTTTTGGCCTTAGCATAATCTTTCTTTTTTTTTTGTTCATTTAAAAGGAGAAAAATAAGATTAAAACTATCTCACGCTGCCCCTCTTATCTTTAAACCTTACATATCCATTTTCTCAGATTCTGTGTTGCTTTCTGTTCCCCCTCGTTCATTTTTTCCTCCTCAGATCTCCTCTCCCACCTCCTCCTGGTGCCCTTATGTCTTTTCATTATTTCCCCCCCTGCCTCCCCGATGGAGTGATGTGAATGATGGCCCTCGTGTCATTAGCTGTTTGAGATGATGTATGAAAGTGGGAGTCTGTCAGAGAGGGAGAAGGCGAGACAGAGAGGTGGGGCGGAGGCGTCATGGCCCTCAGATCCAGAAGGTTAATGGCGTCAGTGGGAGGGGAGCCCAGTTGGAACAGCAGCACGCTGCACAATTCATCAGGTGTAGATGTTTTTTTTGTAGGCATGCGGTATCTGTGTGGTGCTGCTATGTGTGCTAAGTAGTTGTGTTTCTGTTTATCAGGGTGCTCGCTGCGATTCAACCCCCCCCCCATTCTTGAGCGTTTTCTGTCAGGCACTTATCACCAACAAGGAGGCTGAAGCAATGCATGGTGGGGGTTGAACTGGTTGTTGTGTGTTGATGCTGGTGGCAGTGGATGAGACAAGCTGGCAAACAGGAGGGGTGGAAACAGGAGAGGAGTGATAGGCTTCAGGGTAAATGGGTTAATCGACTGGTCCTCTCCCCTGCATCTTCTTTGTTTATCAATAAGCCCGGCGAAGTCGACAGAGTCCTGTGAATAATGCATGATTCCTGCCACCTCCCTCCCTCTCTCTCTCCTCTCCCATCCCTGGTGAACGAGTGTTTTTGATGACATCAGCGAGAGGTAAACAGACAGCCCATAGCTGTCCCTGTTATTGGTAGGAAGGGAGGAGGGCTGGATTATTGGATGCAGGCAGGCATATTACTCCGCTTGTGAAGAAGATTTATTGCAGTGAGAAAAAAGACACGATAAAGTCATTTTGTGTTATTGCTACAAATCAGGATTGAAAAGCGGGGGAATGGGTACAAACACACGCACGTGCATATGAATAAATACACACATCCCTTACATGGTAACACCAGTTGTGACTTTACACAAACACTGTAATTCAAGTTCCGACAGACACAGCCTCCTGCTGATCTGAATGGTTTTGCTAGCACAGGGATCTGTGCGGCTGCTGGGGGGGTAATTTGTTTTGACAGTGTCTCTTATGATGGCAAAGAGTGCAGGGTGGAGGTAATCACCCTCGGTTGCTGTCAATAAGTGATTTTAATTAGCGCAGCTCATTAGGCTGCCTCAGCAACGTGCCCTGCTGACTTTGTGGTGTGGGTTGCTTTGTTTTTCACTCCCTCCCTCTTTTCTCTGTTGTGGTCTCAGTTTATCTCTTGTACGTTTGCTTTGTTTAGATTTCAGCTCTCTTTGGTGAAATGAAAGCAAAAGTAACATGTGTAGAAAATACGTCAATCAACAATTAACCATCGATGGATCATATTCCTTAATAAGCATTTTTTGTGCCTTTTGGTAGCCATTTTGTTAATCGTGGTGTGCATACTCACCCTGTCACCTCTTTGAGTGAATGAGGGAAACGGAGAAAGTGCTTTATCAAGGAGTCATGTCCGTTTCCTGGATGGAGGAAGAGGATGAAAGGAGGAACAGGGGGAGGGAGAACGAGAGCTTGTGCAAATGAATAATTTATACTGGATTCCTGGAATTGTTTGCCAAGGTGATGATGGCCGACCTCTCTCTAAGCCAAAACAAACTGACTATGAGAACACACACACAGTCTCTCAAGGGAGGTTGACGAGGTTAGTGGAGGCTGTGAGACACGCTTTATTTTGATAGCCAGGCTAGAGGGGCTGGTAGAACAGAGTTACACAATTAGTGTGTGTGTGTGTGTGAACACCTGATGATGGGTTTTGCGTGTCTGTGTTGATGCGGTGAAATGGGAGTAAATTCTTGTGTGTGTTTGTAGCGCCTTTGCATAATTCAAATATTGTGCATGTCATGAGGATTTCAACTCTTAGCGAAATCGAACCCAATCTGTTGGAAAATGGCCCGTTTCCACATGCTCCCCCTGCAGAAGAGGATGTCACTTCATTTTTGCATGTACCAGCTCAAAATAGAATGACATGCACATGCAAAATATTCTTCATGCATTTGTAATGAACCAGATACCTCTAAGTGCCTCTTTCTTCCTCTGCTCTGGCTGAGAAGATAATTCCCAAACAGCCATCTCTGCCCTCCTCCCATCATATGCCACTTGTTTTCCTCGCCAATTGAAACCTCGTCGGAGACTCTGCTCTCCACTTGGGGGCTAATGCCTGGAGCGACAAACAGCCAAATGGCTTTCAGCGCACCATAGACAGAGGGATGCGGTGGAGAGAGAGAGAGAGCCTCTCCAAGCTCTGGTGCTACTAGAGAACCCTGAGTACCTGTAATTGTGGAGCTGCAGTGAAAAGCTTCTGCTGGCTCACAGGCTTCTGTTTTCACTGGCTTTAAGTGTCAATAAACTCTTTCCAGTGGCTGTCACTGCACTAAAAGCACTGTGAAAAATAGTGCCTCCAAATTAAAGTGGTGGTCTTTGAGGAATGCTGCAAGTCATTGGATCTGATGTGTTATCTGTATTGTTCCCTCCTATGTAGCTGTCATAAATTAGTTTAAATAAGCAGTGTGTCCATTTGGTCTCACTCACGTGTGTGAACTTGGCCTGAACAGAGCGGATAGACTAAATTTAAAAAGCAAGGTGTAGATGTAGCAGATAACCGCAGTGATTCAATTGAGCGGTTTGACTGTTTGTCTCTCGGGTTGGCCTCATGCTCTCTGAAAGTGTTGCTGAGAAATGACGACAAAAAGTCCAATATCAGCACTACAGTAGTTAGAGCTCAAACAGGAAGGCTGCTCTATTGTTTTATTTCCTGCCTTCAAAGCAATAACTTAACTTAAATTTCAAAGGAATTCAAGAGGTCGGGAACATTTAACCTTAAAAACCCCTGGACCTGACTCAGCGTGGTCTGGGCTCCTGAAACACCTGGCGCTGCAGCTCATCTTTCAGAATGAACCGCTGAGAGAAACCCGTGTTTTTAGTGTACCTGCATTCCACGAATGCTTTTGGCTCTAAACGATGGCTCAGGAGCGATGATTTGCTACCAACAATCAGATGGCTTTCGTTGTGAATTGGTTTGTGGTGAGGGTTTGCAATGTTGTTGTTCTAATAGCCGAGTGTATCAGCATACCACTGTTTCTTACAAGCCCCATGTGGCTCCCCTAGCAGCCATTTCCAGAGAAGTGGTGTGATGCTGAAACAATCTAATCCTACTGTGTGGCATTGTATCCAGCCCCCGCTAATGATGATGGTTTATGAGTCTCCATAGAGCTTTCTCCCTCCCTCCCTCTCACCCCTTCTCTCTCTCTGTGCGTCCCCCCCGTACAGCCTCTTCCCCACTCCCAGTTATCCCTCATTAATTTCCCGTGCCGATCAGATCGACAGGCCGAAAATTCAATTTAATGACCTGCCTCTGTGCTGCGCCTAATATGATTTTACAGGCTGTTCTGGTCAGGGCCCCAACCCAATTTACATAACGATCAGCCGTGCCAGATAGCGTTGCCCCAGCAACAGAGGAGGGGGAAGATGGGAGAGGAAGAGGGGGAGGAAAGAGGGAGGGAACAGAGGAGAGTAGTGGAGATTAGCATGGAGGGGTGTGAAGAAGCGTTTGGAGAAGGAAGGTGGGGGGGGAGGATGGAGAGAGAAAGCAGAGTGTGTCTAAGGTCAGGCAGGAGGTTGTGAGATAGTTCCTGACAGGCCAGTAAAGATCTGTCCCTCTCCTCCTCTGTCCTTTTCCTGTCTCACCTCTTTCAAAATGGACAAAGTGACACAGACGTTGTGCAAAAGGCTACCGGCACCTCCCTCTCCTTTTCTGTCTTCTTCCTCCCCCTTTCACAGTCAAACAAGGTTATGGGAGAAAATGAGTGGAATGCAGCAGCGTATAAAATGGCGGGAAAGACCTCTTCACCCCACACACACCTGCTGGGCTTCCACCCCTAATCTCTCAAAATCAATTAGTTCACCTCCCTCAGTTCAGTCAAACCACATTACCTTAGTGTCAAATCATAGGGTTTCACTTCACCATTCATCACCCCCACACAGCCCAACACCCCTTCTCCTTTATCCTGCTTTCCACTTGTGTTCCTCTCTTTCTCCCCCTCGTTCTTATGCCTCCCCACTCTCTGTGGAAAGTACAGATTTTTAAAAAAGGAAATGGGTTTGGGCAAAATGTCTTGGGACGTTCGATCGCAGTAGACAGGCTGCACAGCACATCCATTTGTCCAAATCGAGCACAGTAAAGTGCTCCACGTTTGTCGAGGCCTGTATCATCTTACTCTCCCAGCTAATATTCCGTGGTCGATACCAAAGATGCCTCTGATAGATAGGGTCAGAGAGTTAACCTGTCTGCTTCAGCATTCCCCACCCTGCTCTCTGTGGGCTGTAATTATGAAGTATGGACCTCATTAGGGTCTCTCCAGCCAGATGCTATTAGCATATTTCAGCCTCCTAATGAAATAAGACCTAATGGAAGCAGGAGAGAGAGGGAGGGGTTGGGTAAATTTGTTCTAAGGCTGTCCCACTTTAGTTAAGAAATACATGGTCTGCCCAGACGGACGCTGGACACATTTGTGTGTGTGCCCTTTTGTATTATAGGTAGTTTAACTGCTTAATTACAGGGCTGCCCGTGGCATGCAGTACACTGAAAGACAATTATTCTAATATGTCCTCTCTCTGCCTACAGACTGAGATTGCCAAACGTCTCAATGCAATTCTGGCTCAGATCATGCCATTCTTGTCACAAGAGGTGAGTGTCATTTTAAGAATGTGATTGAGATTCATGTTATTCCACCATGTGTCATAACTGTAAAGGAAACTGTGAAAGTGGCTCATTGTACAGAGACTCTGTCAATGACTTGTTATAGGAAGCAAGACATTCGTTATTAGCAACACAAGCTGCACATGTCTTAAAGATGAAATGTGACTGAGTCAGGTTTAAGCAGCACAACCACACGAAGTAACGCATTGGGATCATGAATCAAATAAAAACGTTAATTATTTTAATCACTCAACATTATTAAAACATGCTTCCATCCCATTTCTTCCACACCTTATTTAACAAACTGCCAAACAAAGTACAAACAATTAGAAATGACAGTTCTGCCAAACCTCCTGGCTTTTCTTCTTCAAATGCAGTGAACTAAAAATGGCTGTACCAATATCGCAACAGATTGTTGTACTACAGTTTTTTACTAACTTTGATCTCCTTGTTTAATTGTATAACACAGACCTCTTTTACACCACAATTAGCAATTATACCGTTTTGCAGTTTTTTTTACACCAGAGTTAACCAGCTAAAAAGGCGATTGGCTCCTTTTCCATTGCCAGTAGAGGAGTTTGACGCACCACAAACTTTCACAATGTTTCATTTTGCAGGATTCTTAAGAAAAGATTTCTGTTGCACGATGTTCCCACAATGTAAAAACATTCATGGCCATTTATGTGCCAACGCCCTAAAGTTCAGTGTCCGTTATAACATAGTATAGGAAAAAGTCCAGACTTCCAAAATAAAGAAGAAGAAATTAGAACATTCACCCAGGTATCATGTGTCCTTAACTGAAGATTGATGCCAGGGTCTTCTTTTAAAAACCTGTATCTACTGCAGAGTCATTTGTTCTTGAAGTGGATGCAGATTTAATCCATTACCATCACAGATGTTAATGGGTGTTAGCAGGTTTTTTCACTAGTGGAAAAAGGGGCTACAGATGCAGATGGTGTTTAGTTGACTGTTGCATCATTGACTTAAATTACTTCTGTGCGTTATGTTTTTGTTTATCTCAGCTAATGTTTGTAGACTTGTGTATGTGAACCATCTTCTTCCAGTCTGAAGTTATGAATGCTTTACCATCAAGAGTCTCATCTGTGTGTCCATGTGTCCTGCAGCATCAACAGCAGGTGGCTCAGGCTGTTGAACGGGCCAAGCAGGTGACAATGACTGAGCTGAATGCGATCATCGGGGTACGTGGACTTCCCAATCTGCCTCTCACTGTGTGTATACCCCCTCTTCTTCCTTCATTTGATCTGAGGCCGGGGGCAAAACTGCATGCATAGAGGAAAATCGGCATATAGGCAGTTCAAGCATGCTACATTACGCTCACAGGCTTCAGCTGAAGTGTTGTATGTCAAGGACAACCTGGGAAAGGGCAATAGATTCAGGAGGAAAATAGGGGTGAAAAGGGAAAAGAGAAGCTTAGTGTATTAATCTGCTTCCATTTTCCTCCTCCTCTCTGTGGCATTTGAACGTCCAGACTGAATACAAACTAGCAACGTGCCTCGTCCTCTCTCATGCAGACTTGCCCCCCGTCTCCAGTGGTTTATTATGTTTTTATTTGAGTTGACAGTGTTTGTAATGTGCTCTCGATGTGTTCAATGCTGTAATTCCACTGATTGTTGGTTGTAGGCTGCAGTTCCTAACGGCAGCTCCACTCTGATTTTCCCCCCGTCTCAGGCAGAGTCAAAGAACATCTGATACAGAGTAACACAGTCCAGGCTGAGATCAGATCATGGTGTTTTTCACGTTTCACTTTGGCTGCACTTTAATTAGATAAAAGGTTCCAGCCAACAGGCTTACCTCTGCCACCGACCCAATAGCAAGAGGAATTAGAGCTCTCAGGTTAGGACAAGCATTGTGATTGCAACAGTGATTACAGCAGTATGGACTTCACAGGCACCGATTGTTTGTGAGGTGTCGTGGACCAAAGATTCAGGACACGTTCAAGCAAAGTCATCAAAGTGGGAGGAAGAGGAAAATTACAGCCTTCCAAAAGTTAAAATGGAATAATCTGAATTTTGGGCCATAAAAAAATCATGTATTTGTTCAAATATGGTCTTAAATACGTTAAGATTGTATTAATTATGCTTTTTGAGCAAGTATAGTTTGTAACATCATGTGTATTGTAGTTTTTTCTCAGCGATACAGATATTAGTATGCTGTAATAAAACTACAAACAAGACCAACATGGAGCTGATAACTGATACGAACACTGGGCAGAATTAATAGCAGTTCACTCAGCTTGGTTGCAGGACAGACTTTGAATACCTACTGTCTTTTATGTTTTAAATTTCATTGATTATGGTCAGAAAGTCTTAAATTGAACTTGTTGAAACCTGCACAAACCCTGTGATAGTTCCTCTGCTCACTTTACTCCACCGTGGTTGCCCTCCACTGATAGCGTCTCATTATTTAATAAGGCTAAATCGTCTACTTCTTTCTGTCACGTATTGTTTGCTTTATATTTTTATAAGTAAAACTAGATATTAACAAACACTGTGGTATGTAGTTCCTTGAATTTGGCCATTTATTAGTGTCAATATTGGATTTCATTTGCATGTAACTGTGCACTTTGCAATTTACCAGTTTGTTATCTGTAGTCATTTTGACAAGACTGTTGTGAACATTTTTATTGACTTTGTCACTACTCATCATACTCATAATGAAGATGTGAATAATGTGACATTTATGTGGCATCATGTTTGATCCAATTCTCACCAGTTTATACGTTTTTAGCACTAAGCTTTAAACTCAGTATCCTTTATAATAAAAGTTTAATGTCCTTAATTTGTAAATTTCATTTGAGAGCATCTGCGGCAAACTAAACTTTATTAGAAGAAGCACTTCAAAATTCAGTTACTGACCTTTTAATTGTAGCCACAACCCTTGAACACAAACAAACTCCACTCTGGCTAAATATACTTTTTGGTGATTTCTTCCATCTGCTTTTGTTTAAAAAAGAGCGAGAAGGTTCGCTGTTTTTTAATAGCCAGCTTGGACCCAGATGTAGAACTGACCCTTTTGATTAGCCCTCTGTAGCAGAGGTTAGTTAGCGGTTAGCTTGTCCCAGTGGTAGGGGGTCAAGTCTAATGAGAGGCGGATATCGAAATTCTATTAAGGTAAATGAGCCAGGAGCACAACCCCCAGTTTTCAAGGTAATTACTTCCTATTTCCTCCTCCTTTATTTTTTCTGAACCTGGCTCAGTGAGACGGTCTACAACAGGAGTGACCCTGTCTTCATTACGGGTTGGCAGGGCCAGATGCACACGCGCAAACACACACACGGCAAAGACACGGGAAGTGATCAGTCTCCACGTCCCCACAGTGTTAGACTGTTACTCATCCACACCACTAAATTTTCATTTGCAAACGTAAACAAACACTAGTGTTTTGGCTCTTTATCAGTTTTAATCCTCATCCCCCAAAAAAGCCCCAAACATGTCTGACTGAATCCAGCTGATCGAAGGGAATGATTCGCTGTTTTTATATGATTTTAAATTAAATGTCTTTGGGTTTTGTCTGATTGTTGAATAAATCAAGGCTTTTGAAGTCACCAGCTTGGACTGCAAGAAATTGGAATGAACATTCCCCAATGATTTTATCATTATTATTTTCTTATTTAAATGACTTAATGACTAATTTATCAAAAGGGTCACAACCCTGCGTTTCAAGTAAAATTCTAAAGTAGGTCTGTGTGAAAATCAATTTAGCAGATGGTGTGGCAGTAGTCGATGTCTGGCACCAGGACAGAGTGTAATTTCAGAAGTGATACGCTGTCCAAAGTAAACTAGCAGTTAATGCCATATTTGTTTTTACAAATGTTAACAGGATGTTTGTCTGATATAAAAAAAATTAAATAAAAAAACCGTATAAAAAATGCTGACCTGAAATGAACTGAGCAGAAAGACGCCAGAGGTGAGACACGAGTTTGATTTGACAAGTGTCGGAGCTGTCGTCTCATTTCCATGTTTTCCACACAGGGTGAGATTGTGCTTCGGTAATGGTTAACAAGTCAGTTACAGGTGGGGTGCTGCTTATCACCAACCCTTGCACAAATGCTAATCTGTAGGACAAAGCTTTTACACTGCCTGGTTTTGTTTGTGATGTCACTCTGCTTCATTTGCTTACAGTGATCTCCTTTGTGAAAAATTTGCATGTGAAGGTCATATTTCCATCTGGTTCGAGTTTGTATATGCAGTTTGATTCATTTACATCCACACGTTTGTTACGAACAGTTTGAAGTTCCCCTTTTCCCACACTGTTCCATACTAGTTCCCCAAATTCTGCTTCCAACGTATTCAATGTTAATATTTGTTTGTTTTCTTAATTGTCAAACTGAATATCTAAATGCTTCACCACCTTTTTTTCCCCCTTTTTCATAAACGAAATAATCAATAGATCGCTAGAGAAAACTGACACTGCAGATAAACTGATGAAATAACAGTTATAATATTTACTACCCATGGCTTGTTGCTTGTATAATTTCTGGCTGAATCTCTCCCTCTCTTCTCTGACCCAGCAGCAGCAGCCGCCGCCTCATAGTGCCTATCCAGCCTTCATGGTCAGTGTTCAGGGAAGTTATGAGACATAGAGGCTACATCCACATTACTACGTTTTAGTTTTAAAAGTCATCAACATTTAGGCCTAAAACTGAGAAGTTTGAAAGCGCTGTTGGCCCCATTCTAGTTTGAAATTAACGCAAAATATTCCACCTAATTGTTGGTCCGCGAATATGAATCCCTCATTTTACTTTTCACAATTTTTATTTTGTATTTTCAGTAACTAACAACCAACTGCTGAGTAGAAAATCTACTTCCTGTTTGCACCGACACGCATATGCACAGTGTATGTGAACGGTCATGTTTTCAGGTGTGTTAGCGTGGACGGGGATTATTACTGATGCAGAGCTAGAACGCTCAGCTGGTTGGAGATCAAAACAGAAACGTATTAGTATGGATGTAGCCAGAGAAACTCTTTTGCATTGCTTGCTGGCAGCCTAACACACGTCTCTGTGAAGGGAGAAGATGTCCCTTGAAGACAAACCACAACTTGGGTGTGTTTGGATATTTTTGGCATCTTCTGTGTTATCTGCCTTACTCGGGTGACAGACACTTAACAGCACGTTTCTTTAGCTGACGACTTACATCAGAACCCTCATGTCAATCCTGTTCCGATGCTCAAACGAGTCAGCTCGGTGTTTAGTGGAAGCCGTTGACTAATCTTTGTCGCAACGTCTGAAGAAAGTGTGTTTGAGTACAGAAGACAAGTAGGTAATGTGACGATCGTTGCCAGACTTATTGAGCCGGTGTGCCAGCTGGTTTGTGCCGCTACTGTTGATGCTTGTTCCACCTGACAGTACAGTTCTGCAGGGAGCCAGCTTCGCCTAGTTAACTTTAATTGCCTGTTTCCTGTGGAAGTTGCCTGAGCTGAAGCGGCATTTACACATAATGAAAAAAGATAAGTGTGAAAGGAAGCCAGCTCTTTATCCATGAATATTGAATTGGAAGCAATTTATTTTCTGAAATTTTCTCTACCCCCCCCCCCCCTCCCACTCCCCTTCCCTCGTCCCTCCTCGCTCTTCTCCTCAGCCATAGCTTGCTAATGAGGCTTCTTGATAATGATCCCTGCACGCTTTTCCTCATTAGGCACACTCAATAGGGACGTCCCTGCCTCAATCCCTTGCTCGCTCTCTCTTTCATTCTCTTGTTATTTTTCTGATTCTGCCGCTCCCTCCTCTTCTTGTTCTGGCTGCCCCCTTTCTCTCTCTTCTTTTTTTTTTTTTTTTGCTCGCTTTTCCTTTTACACAACAAATAGGCTGCCGGGCACACCAGTACAATATCGATTAACAATGCCGCCCCTCGGTTGCTTATATCCATTGTGCGATTTCAGGTCCAGCTACACATAATGAGCTGACTGAGTAATGGCCAGCTGCTAAATAAACCTTTAAATGTGCTAAGCCACTACATATAACCTTGTCTAGTTTTTCCCCCTGTCGTGTAATGAATGTATGGATGAGGTTATTGAAGTTCTATCTAGCAAGCAGAATAGCAATCATGTTTTTTTCTTTTTTTAGAGAGGCAGTTGATGGATGTGCTAAGTGTTATTTAACCTTGTTTTAAAGCACTTGCTTCCCTCTTGCCTGAGTGGCTATTTAACTCCTGTCTATCTACTCACTCCTCTCTGGTTGCCTCTCACGCAGATATTCATGGCCTCTTGGGAGGTGTGTGTCAGAGTGAGTGTGTGTGTGAGAGTGTCTGTGCTTAACAGCGTTCTGCTAGATGAGTGGGCATGTTTGCTTGCTTGGTTTTCCAGAAGGTTTTGAGGTTTTCAAATATAGATCTATTGATTTGTATTTTTTGTAACAGCTCCAACTATGATTGAGGTGCACAGAGTTGTGGGGAAAATGCTCCTTATCATTTCTGACGACCGGGGGGGGACGTGTCGTCAAACATGGTTGTCACATGAAGGTCTTGTATCCTCAATAAGAAACAACAGGCAGTTTGTAGAGCAGCAGCGATAAGTGTGGCAGTGTTGTAGTAAGTGAAGTGTGATAAGAGAAGAGAAACACATCTGTCATGTAAACCTGGAGGCAGTGTTTTCATAGGCTCAACACTGAGGAGCACTCATGTGCAGACGTTAGCACTGAGCTGTGTCAGTAAACCGAACTTTTATTCAACCGACAGAATGAATCTACAACTGATGAAATGATTTATTATCTTATTCTTCACTGTGATGAGTTGCTGTTTCTTTATCATTGTAAATTGTAAATGAAAGGAAATGTGTGACCGTGCCCTATAATGTGTTAATGATGCAAAGACAAATGCTAGAGATGATAAGAGTGAGATAAATGAAAGAGTAATAATAAGTAACACGTGTGTTCTACTGTTCTGGTTAATCCAGCATGTTGAAGCAGATAATAACTTCACTGTTCCTCTGCAGATACAAACTCAATCAGTTTTTTCCCTCAGACAGTGAATGAGCTGGATCAGCATGTTGGGAGTCGTCATCATTCGGATATTATGCATAAAAGCTTTGGCCTTTGGACTAAATATTGTCAGATCCAGCTGTAATGCTGAAGTAGAGTGCGATCATTCACAGATTCACTTCCCAGCCGACCCATTTGTCCTCTGTCTTGTCTCTTGTCTCTCCGCATTTGTTTATAGCAGCAGCAGCTCCAGGCTCAGCATCTCTCTCACGCCGCCCACGGTCCCCCGATCCAGCTGCCCCCTCACCCCTCAGGCCTGCAGCCGCCTGGCATCCCCCCTGTGACAGGCGCTGGCTCCGGCCTGCTGGCCCTGGGAGCTCTTGGCAGTCAGGCCCACCTGCCTGTAAAGGATGAGAAGAACCACCACGACCTGGAGCACCGAGGTGAGGAGCACAGCCAGCCGCACAAACCGCCCGCAGCATTTTACTGCTGATTGTAACTGCCAAGAACAGGTTTTACCAGCCAGACACATTTATCATAGAAACACGTCACTGTGTGTTTTAAATCTTTAATTTAATAAGTGTTTATGCACAGAGCTACTGGGTGAGGACATATTTATAAGGGCCATTTTATTTGGCTTTAACCAATGATGTATATATATTGATGTGAAAATAAAGTTGAGTTTATACTTTCACCAAGAAACAGGAAAGAAGGAAATTGGCACACTAGAGGATAAACATATTCTAATATCAGGCAGAAATAAAGACAGTGTAGAACTGTTCAGTTTAGATGTTGATAATAATGTTGGTCTAATTTAAATGAAATTCAAATTACAACCTGTATCTGTATTTTTGTCAATAAATATAATGTTAAAGATTTCTGAGTCAACTTTTCCACAGGGATTTGATGAAGTTAATATTATTAACTAAAGTTTTCTCACCTTCGCAAACACCATCAGGTCTGTTCAACTTAGACACAACATCAAACGGTCTTGTTTGAGTCATCTGTAGTTTTTAGGTTTCAATCATTGATAGAGGAGTTTTTAGTATTTCATCACGTCTGCAGTTGTAAATGTGAATGCAAATTTCAAACGTGGACTTGGTCTTCGTGTCCCACAGTCTGTACCGAGACTGTCCATTAGAGAGTTCACCTAATGAACTGAATATCTGATAAAGATAATGTAAATGGAGAATAATCACTATGTATTCACAACCTGTCAACCTAAAGCCAAAGTTCATAAAGACTTTTATCATGCATCAGTTATTTTATTACAACTTATGAACCCTTTACAAAAGATATAAAGTGGTAACAACAGGAATGAGGCTGAGCTGCACATGACGAGAGCTTTGTTTTACCTGAATAATAATTCTGTGATTGAATCTCTCCGTTGTGGTGACACCCATAATAATTTGTGTTTTGCTTTTCTCTCTCCTGGCCCCTCATCTTTTCACTCACCTCTGGCCATTCCTCTGAAAGAGCGCGAGTCGAGCACGGTACGTTCAGTCTGCTTCTGTGTGTGTGTGTCTTGCCGTTGTCGTCCCTGACTCACTGTGTTGGGTGTTTAGGTGTACTTTACACTGCTCAGTAGACATTAACGCTCTGTGCATAAGAACATACACATTTTTGTACTCCAGGGGGTATAAGCTGACTGAAATCAAATATTTAAGTCTGGTCAAATAAGCCAGTGCCATCTAATCTATGTGGACAATGATTCCAATCACTGGGTGAGGATTAATAGTCCTTTAATTTCAGCACAATTAAAAACGACTTTGACTCTTTTCTTGCTTCACCTCTGGAGAGGATTTACTGTTGCATGTGTCTGATACCTGATTCCTTTTCATCTTTTTATCTGCCTTTCTCCTTTTATTTAGCATATATCTTTATTTTCTGCTCTCTCCTCCTTTTCTTATCTCACTCTTCTGCCCACCCCCCCCCCCAGTCTCTCTCTTCCTTCTCATGTTAAAGTCCCTGTTTATTGGACTGGCTTAAAGCTCTCAGTTAGCTGGAGCAGAACGCTCTGTTGGATCTGCTCGACCAGATTGAGTTCCCATTGACTGGCCATCCTGAATAGGCCCACTCATGTCTGAAGGGAGCCCAAACTCTCTCATCTTGTATGGTGACGAGCGGCTGCCAATTCTACCTCACCTAATCTCTCCACCACCGTCCCTCCTTCCCAGTGCACACACTCGCACGCAGTGTCTTCCTGTCCTGTTGTCTCAGGTCATCTGATACCAAAGTTGGAGACAAGTGCAGGGTTATTGAGTCCAAGCCGTCCTTTAAAGGTCCAAGGCGCAGATTCATAGTCGGGTCGTGATGATGTCGGGCGGCATCTTCACATCGAGCTGCTCTAAAACAGCTCTTGTTGCTTTCTTTTACATATTTTGCCTCTGGGAGGACGGGGTGTGACAATTGCAGAAAGCTTGGAGGCCAAGGCAGGGCCAGTTACTGAAGGGAGTGTTAGTACGTGTGTGTGTGTGTGTGTGTGCCACTTACTGTGCAACCACAGTGTTTTTTTGTTTTGTCACTCTGCTGAAATCTGTTTGGCTCATGAAGTCTCATCATCCTTTCACTCAGACTACATCCACACTACTACGTTTTTATTTGAAAATGCATCAACTCTGCTGGATACACCTGGACTCATTTTAGAGCTGCTACAATGGAGACCTTTTTGAAACGCCAGACTGTGGTGCAGTAGTGTGGATGAAGCCTGTGACAGGTTTTTTTCCCCCACAACAGCAGCAGAGCAATTGTCCATATTTTGAAGGAGTCTGTGTGGAAATGGCAGAAAGCTTCATGCTTGGTGGAGACCTTCAGGAACAGTCCCTGTGTGGAGGCAGGGCCAGTTTCTGAAGGGGGTGCTATAAGTATGCGTGTCTGCCATTAACTGCCCAACCACAGTGTTTTTTTAATTGTTTCTCTCCACTCTCCTTGGCTCAGGACATTGTTGTCTTTTTTATGTCACCCTTTCACTCAGTTTTCAGGCTGTTGCCTTCCTCTCCTCGTCTTTCTCTTTCTGTTACTTGCAGCCAAGATGTCAGACATCTTCCTTTTCCCTCTTTCACCACATCTCTCTGTCTCTGATGAAGGCAGGGATTTGTTGAGCTGCCCCCCCACCCCCTCCTTCCCTGCCTGCCTGTTGGGCTGTTTGGCAGTGCCACCCCACCACACCAGTGCCCAGACTACAAAACCCCCCCGTTTGCTGTTTCTGAGATGGTGCCAGCCTTTGCGGGCATTCCCACTAGTGGGGAGAACTCATTGCCACACTGCTACACTCTCATTGCTTGCCAAGTTCCTTTCCTGTTTTGGTCTCTTGTCTTGTCTTCCTCTTTTTTTTCCTCATTTTCTCACTCTGCCTCTTTCACGGCTCTTTTCTCTGCTGGCAACATCCTCTTTGTGTCTTCACATTGCACTCTTGTCCAGTTTCCCTCAAAGGCGTCTTTCTGTCCTTCCTCTTCTTTATTCTAGTTGGTTTTCATGAACTTTTCTGTCAGTCATTTTCTGCCGTTTTGTCACTGACCTGCCGCAGTGCTAAAACACACACACACACACACACACACACACACACACACGCACGCACGCACACACACACACACACACACACAGTTGCACAGTGACATGCTTAGTCAGTGTTGTTTTCATTTGCACGTTCTCTTGTGTCTCATTCAGTCAGAATGAAAACCGTTCGGTTAATATTGTTGGTCTGACCAGGTCTGTCTTAGGGTCTACAACAGGATCCAATGTCAGGTTTATAATTTATTTGTGTTGATATACACCAAATATCCCATGATGCCCTGAGATTCCACCTCACATCTTCTGTTATGTTCTGATCAATCTTCTTGCTGTGAAACGTCCGGGGTGTTTTGTCTTCAGTGGTATACTGTGTGTGTGTTTGTGTGTGTGTGCTCAGCTGTCTTGTCTGTTTCCTACTTGCTCCGCTGCCACGGTGGCAGCAGTGGGGCTAAGCTGTCCCAGAATCCTCTTCTGTCCTTTCTATCCTAAATCAGTCCAGTTCATTCTGGGAGCATTGTACGTTTAGCTACACAGTCAATATTGCCACTGGTCTGATAAAGGAAAAGGCTCCAGAGTCATATCTGGGCTTAAATGCACCATTTGTCAGTTCCTGGCTTTTCTGGTTTCTCAGGATTTGTCACTTTTAAACCTCAAAACATTCACCGATTGAAAGAAGACATGTCTGGACAGTGAACAGTGCTTTGTTATTTTATTAAGGCATCAGAGCAGTTTGTCTCACACATTTTTTACTTCATATCAAGTCATGATGACATTTACAGTCATGCTCATGGGGGTTGAAGTTTATCCGTGTACAGTGCAGGATTTTATATGAGTTAAATATAAAGCAGACTCTGGGAGCTGGAGACTGATTGTGTGGTCTGTGTGTGTTGTTGTTGGCAGAATAACTCTGTGTCGCCGTCAGACAGCCTACGGGCAGCGAGTGAGAAGCACCGCAGCTCTTCAGATTACGGCCTCGACTCCAAGAAACGCAAAGTGGATGACAAGGACAACATGAGCAGATATGTGAGTTCATTGGTTTCTTTGTTTGAAACTGTTGGTGGGATCCTGAGCTTGTTTCTGCTTGTATCTTAAAGGGATCGTTCGCCCAAAAATGAAAATTCACTCATTATCTACTCACCCTTATGCCGATTCAAATTCATTCCGTGTTTCAAGCTTAAATGGCCGGTGGTATCTTCGGACACTCAGCGCTCATACCTCCACCAAGACTCAACAGTCCCCTTAAACAAGCTCCACCTAATTTCAAACTCATAGATATCAGTTTCCTAAATGTGCCTGTTTCTTTCATCAAGATCCAGGAATTATTTCCTGAGAAACTGGTGAAAATGTAGATAAGAAAGAAAAGAAAGAGATAAAACATTCCTGAATCTGCCCCTAGATCCAATCTGAGAAATGTCTCAGTCTATCAGCAGCTGAATAAAATACATCTCAGAGCTGTGACTCCATTAACCTTGTAATTACTACACAGGTTGCAATGATCTGTCCTGAAAACCTTTAAGAAATTAAGAAACTGTTTGGAAATAATTAGCCGGTAAAATAAAGAATCACCCAGTTTCATTTAATGTCTGGTTACAATATTTAAAGTAAATAATCAAACACTACAGCTGAAACATGTTACAGATGCCCGGTTATATTTTGATCCACCAGTGAAAAATTAAATTGCAGTTGTCCATGCTACCGACCAGAAAACTCAACCTGTGACTCTTTCATTTCAGGACAGTGACGGAGACAAAAGTGACGACCTGGTGGTGGACGTTTCCAACGAGGTGAGACTGCGTTTGAACCGAGCTGTTCAGTCACATTCCAGCGGAAACGCTGCATCGAAACCAAACACGGCCCTTTGTCACTTGTCTGCAGAAACCTCAACACATTTCACAGCGCTGACGAAAAAAAAGTCTGTCACAATATTGGCTGTGTGCACCATGAGTGTGTGCTTACTCGCTGTATTTCTTTTGCCGTTCATGCAGAAAGTAATAAGACAAAGAACACAAAGAGAGAAGGGAGTGACAGGTGAATGAAAAGTGTGTGTATGTATGTGAGGGAGAGAACAAGCACGCATGAGTATATTTATCTGTGTTTGCACATGAGGCCCCAGTTTGTTTGACCCACATGTACATGCCAGTGGCTTTCCTCTGCTCTGTTTGCTCAGTCTTACTCTCCGTCTGTCTCGTTTTAACTCTGCAGGATCCTGCCACCCCTCGAGCTAGCCCCGCTCACTCACCTCCAGAAAACGGCCTTGATAAATCACGGGGCCTGAAGAAGGATGCTGCCCCCAACAGCCCCGCCTCCGTCGCCTCTTCCGGCAGCACACCGTCCTCCAAAGCAAAGGACCACGCCCATGTGAGTGCACTGAAAGACAAGAGACATGATGAAATAAGGAGGTTACAGTGGAGGGGGTGATGGGTGAACTGACAGTCCTTCACACAGACGCCCACTCCACTTGACAAATGCCCTTTAGTCTAATACACAGAAGGCTTAGCAGTCGGCTGCTATGAGGGTCTTGAAGGGGCAGAGGGTGGATGCACTCTCAGGAAATCAAACGCTGTGGCTCACTCCTCTCAATCTTCTTTATGGCTTACCCAATAAATGGTCATTTCTTCCTTGGCCCAAGGCTGTAAATAACCCAGAGACGCAGTGGCAAGGGAACTGCTGTCTCTTCCTCCATCTCATCTTCTCCCTCCATCCCCCATTTTCTCTCCGATATTGAAGCTCTTACACACCAGGCTAAAACAGACCGCATGCATTGGTTCTACATAACGATTGAACTGCGGATTAGAATATATTTATAGTCCCTATCTCTACTCTTCACCTCCTGTGGCACCCAGCGGGACTCAACCCGCAACCAGCTAAACCCTCGTTTTTCTAACTTGATCTGCAAAGGAAGAAGGAGATGGATTAATTATGAGAGAAGTGGTTGGGTCACCATCTTGCTTGTCTAGTCACTCTTAACAAGCTTGACTTCTAAGCAAAGGTTTATACTTCTACCCCTGACACACACACACACACACACACACACACACACACACACACACACACACACACACACACTCACCAACCATAGCTGTAATGAAGTGTCAGTATTAGATTGGATTACCTTGAGCCGTCCACTCAGATTGTCACTCTGGATTTTCGTGCCAGGGGGAATTTTTTTTTACGCTGACACGGATTCTGTTTCGTTTTGGTGTACGTGTGGCTGAGAGCGAGAGGAAGTGAACTTGAGTGTTCCAGTAAGAGGACACAAAACAAGGCTGCACACAAAGGCTTAAGAGCATCTTTCTGCTTTAGAACGACAAGTCGTCCACACCGAGCCTGAAGTCCAACACGCCTACACCCAGGAACGAGGCGCCGACACCAGGAACCAGCACCACTCCAGGATTACGGCCTCTAACGTTGGGCAAACCCCCCGGCATGGAGGCGTTAGGTATGTAACTGCACATTATGTACCTCAACCTCACGCTGATATAATAATTGACAAAAGAGTAAACAAAATAATTATCTGTTCTTGTTCAAGCAAAAGTATAAAAAGCTCTCTGGTTCTCTCTTCACTGTTTTGAGAATTAGCTCATGTCATAATCAAACCAAAGTTCTATCTGGAGCTTTTTTATCACAGGACGTGAACTTTTTCACATTTCACAGAATTTAATAAAATAGAAACATAGGTTGCAGCTCATTGTAATGAATCACATTAATATTCCTGAAGCTAAATTGTCTTTTCTTTTGTGTTGTGTAGCAGCTCCTGCCCTGCGTACGCCGCTGTCCATCGCAGGCTCCTATGCCACCCCGTTTGGTATGATGAGTCATCACGAGATGAACGGATCCCTTACCAGCCCCAGCGTTTATCCGGGTCTCATCTCACCTCAGATGAGTGCAGCAGCTGCTGCAGCTTATGGGCGCTCACCAATTGTAATTATTCTCACCTCTATGAAACATTAATGAATGAAAATGTTTTATTGTATTATTTCTCTCTTTCTCATTTGGTTTCTGCAAGGTCTAAAATTGAACGATCAGAATTTTAGACCTCAAAAAGTCTCAAATATGTTTAGGTCGGTCTCAGCTACTTGACCTTTTTCTTCAAGTGTATATAATTCTCTGATAATCTTTCATAGGTCTTCAATTTCATTCGTGGGGTTTTAAAAAGGCCTAAATTTAACTTGAAACTCCGTCACGCACAGTTAATCATCTTGTATATTTCGCCTCCATCGGTTTGATTCAAAGTCTTCACCAGCGTTTGTATGAATTATCCAGCGTGGCTGTGAGTTGTAAAGTATTAGTAGAAAGACTCTGAGAAACTTGGTTATTCATTGTGTATTTCCAGAACTCATTGTGAATATTTCTGCTCGGCTGGCTGCAGCATGTTGTGTAAACATAATGAGAGTACAAAGACAAGCCGAGCTCCTTTGCTTTGATGTTAGTTCGTTAGCATTCTAAAGGCTTCAAAAAAAAAGAGACTCTCCCCCAAAATGCCTCTTGTGCATGTCTGAAAATCTCCCAGGCTTTCATTAGCATTAGCAAGTGGGATGTTGGAGCCTTGTGCAAAGCTTGACTGTTTGCCATGAAGCTGAATTTGCACCTTTTGAAGGGATTTGCCTGGAAACGATGGGTCCTCAGGGCGTTAGCAGCTTAAATGAAGGATAGTTTTCAATTTGAATATTAGTTTAGTCTAATTTATGTTGCAGGTTATTGACTGTTTAACTCTTGTTTCTTTATGCTTGTGCAGGCGGGGTTTGACCCTCATTCTCACATGAGGGCTCCGGGCCTGCCAGCCAGCCTCACATCCATTTCTGGAGGAAAACCGTGAGTCTTTGTCTTTTATTCAAAATGTGTGTTTAACTAGTTTTTATTAACAGATGACTTAGTTTAAATTCTTCTGTCCTCGTGCAGAGCTTATTCTTTTCATGTGAGTGCTGATGGTCAGATGCAGCCCGTGCCCTTCCCTCCAGATGCCCTGGTAGGCCCGGGCATCCCACGCCACGCTCGCCAGATCAACACGCTGAGCCACGGGGAGGTGGTGTGCGCTGTCACCATCAGCAACCCCACGCGTCATGTCTACACCGGCGGCAAGGGCTGTGTCAAGATCTGGGACATCAGCCAACCAGGCAGCAAGAGCCCAGTGTCCCAACTCGACTGCCTGGTAACGAGATGTTATTGTTTGTTACAAGTCACGAAGAAAAGAAACGTTTGTTTGCTCTGTAACATGTGTGTTATAACTGCACACAGACACGATGTTCTCATGTTTCGTTAGACGACGGTGATTACGTTTTCTTGGGCATCATATGTTGCCTGACTCCACACTTCACCTTAGTTTTCCCCCAGATCCCAGCAGATAGAGATGTAAATAATTCAGTTAAGTGTCTCACTGCTGCACTGAAATAATCCTTAGTGAGGAAAAAAGCCTGCTGAGTAATGATGCTCCGACTGGTCTACCCTGTCTGCTATTTCCCAGCTCATTACTTCCTCCTAACTGTCTCCCATTTCTCATCCTGATACTGTGGCTTCATCCCACTCGACTCTTTTGGCCTCCAACACCCTCAAGGTGTGTCCAGAGTGCAGCTGGGTCTTATAAAGCCATCAGGGTGCTGTTTTAATTCGACCCAGCGCTTCCACAGTCCTATTGATCTGTCTTCCTGCTCTTCTGGAGCCTGGCCAACAACTGCAGCCCCATTCCCTCTTTCCCTGAATCTCTAGTTAAAGCTGACATCCACATCTTCACTATAACATGAAAGAGTCAGCTGCAGTCTAAAAACCGCACTTGTTAAAAAGAACAGCTCCTCCTGAGTGGCAGAGGAGACTTGACTTGCTTTCAGAAATACACTGAACACTGGATAATATCTGGAGGGGCTGATTGTGAGAGCGCAAATGTCCGGGTCAGTTGCTGGGGACGTTCTCCGGAGTTTCTCCTGATAGATCCTGAGTAAAAACTCTCATACAGCATGAGATCCTCAGGAGGTTTCACAGGAAGTGAGTGGGTGTGTTGATGAGGGTTATTACACGTGACAGACATAAAACTGAGAGAAGAGAATATAAATATCTCTGGATGAAAAGCACATACACGTAGAAGATGCAGACAATGAGGTTTGAGTTATGTTGATGTCGATGAGCTGTAAAAAAAAAACCCCACATGATCTCCGCAGCAGAATTTATACTTTATATTCTGCCTCTGTCTGATGCTCCGCCCCTCACCTGAACGCCGTCTGTCTGAAATCGGCTCTAGATCCACACAAGTATCCTGTTCATCTGTTGGTTACTCTACAGAATTGTAATTGAGTTTTTCCATGCAACTATTTCACATCAGGGAAATTTAGAAAGGTAAATAAATTACATCCACTTATCATGACAGTGCTCTTCCTTTCGTTTCCCCTGCAGAACAGAGACAATTATATCCGCTCATGCAAGCTGTTGCCTGACGGCCGCACCCTGATAGTGGGTGGGGAGGCCAGCACGTTGACCATCTGGGACCTGGCCTCGCAGACGCCCCGCATAAAGGCCGAACTCACTTCCTCTGCTCCGGCCTGCTACGCGTTGGCCATCAGCCCTGATGCCAAGGTCTGCTTCTCCTGCTGCTCCGATGGAAACATCGCTGTGTGGGACCTCCACAACCAAACCCTCGTAAGGTCAGTACCCAGCTTGGATGTGCGTTACAGGACTAAAACATTTGACCACCAGCATAAGATGTAAGACTTGGAGGGTTTTCTGCCCTGGTCCTGACCTCATGTTTGATGTTGTATTATTCCAGGCAGTTCCAGGGCCACACAGACGGAGCCAGCTGCATCGACATCTCCCACGACGGGACCAAGCTGTGGACCGGAGGCCTTGACAACACTGTCCGCTCCTGGGATTTGAGGGAGGGACGGCAGCTCCAGCAACACGACTTTACCTCACAGGTAGAGAAGGAGAGAAACTAAATCAAATGTGCTCTTCATTTGACCTGCAGCTACAGTGTGTGATCAACCCTAGCTGCTAAATAAGATTCTTACTGCTCATGAATTAGTGTCACACAGAAGAATGTATTCAATGTGTGTTTTAAACCAATAACCTGACGTATCAGTAAAAGTCAAAAACCTGAGCATTGTTTAAAAACCTGCTGAAACCTGAGGATTATGTGAAGGATGAAACTTTATTTCTCAGCCTCTGAATCAGATCAATTGAGCCATAAAATAAAAAAAATGATTTAAGAACTCAAGCTCTTTGGCTTTTGCAGAAACAAACCTAAATCCTCCAAACATCAGTAGACCCGTCCAAGTCTGCGCCGGAATCTTCTCATTCGTTGTTCTTTCCATCCAAGTAACTCATCACCCTCCGTCAGAGTCATCGGCTTTTGTGTGAAGCGCGGCTGTCATTTCTTTGCAGGCACAGACTGCTGAAAGAAACAAACAAAAATAGATTTCCTATGATGCATATAAAAATCTGAACGTCTCATCGGGCTCTAAAAGGAAAAACATGTAGACGCTGCATCTGGTCCTGACGTGTTAATTGATCGGTGGTTGGTAAACAGGCAATGTTAAAAATGATGAAACCCTGTCAACACTTGTTGAAAGAACAGTTTCCTCGTTGCAGATCTTCTCGCTGGGATACTGTCCCACCGGAGAGTGGCTGGCCGTCGGCATGGAGAGCAGCAACGTGGAGGTGCTTCATCACACCAAGCCCGACAAGTATCAGCTGCACCTGCACGAAAGCTGCGTCCTCTCGCTCAAGTTCGCCTACTGTGGTGAGTACCAGGCCCACACACGTCTTCATGCATTCAAGAGCAGGAAGAATAAAGGTTTGATTCCTGGATAAGAAGGTGTTTGTGACTGAAATTAAAAAGCCTCTGCTGGATAGTTTTCATTCACCTCATGTCCATTGAAGTTGTGTAAGTCCATAAATTCTGAGGTGGGTGGTTGTGTTGGATTAACCCCCCCGCTGTCCTGAAATGTCCCTGTGTGATGTTTGAAGTCTAGATGAGCACAAGCTGTAGCTCCTGTATTTAACTGTCCGTTGGTTGCCGGTCGGTTCTGTTGCCTAATGAGGGAACGACAGTTTCTGTAGAAGCTGAACTGACTCAAACATCCAGTGACTCATTTAATCACCTCCACATGGTTATAAATGCCTCGTGTCCTATTTTTGCTCTTGTACATGTTTTACCTCAGCGATCTTAATTGCTCATAATAGAGTCTGGCAGTTGTGTGTGTGAACGCGGAGGCTGTAACTTTACAAACACGCACGTTCATCGCCTGTTTGGTTGAGATCACTGTGTGTATTGTGTATCAGTTGTGATCACTGTGTGTATTGTGTATCAGTTGTGATCACTGTGTGTATTGTGTATCAGTTGTGATCACTGTGTGTATTGTGTATCAGTTGTGATCACTCTGTGTATTGGGCAGAGCAGCTGGTTTTGAATTTAAAGTTCAGACAATTGAGGTTTTACAATCGCGTCAGTGACATTTTTCCAGAAATGTCAGNGTTATGTTTTCATCTGTCTGTTTGTTAAATGGTCTGTATTAGGATCCTCTTGTAAAGATTATGTGTAAACTACTCATCAGACTGCCATGAAACCTGTTGGATGCGGTATGCATCAGGAAAGACATTACATTTTACAACTTTACAACTGTGGTTTCATTAGGGGACTTGTGGGTCTTTGTAGAGGTATGTGCTCTTTAAGTGCCCCACTAGTGAACCATTAACAAAAGCTAGTGAGAATGTGTAAACCCATTCTACAGGTCACTTTATTTTCTTATATCTGAGCTTGGACTTACTGAACATAAAGCTCAGCAGCTGTATTCCTCAGTACTGAACTATGAGCCTGTGCATGCTAACACACACACAGACCAGATGGCCAAATTCTCCAACTAGGAGGAAACAGATTTTTACGAGGAAAGGAAAAACAACAAAATTAAGAACCGAGCTCAACATTTTAGATTTTGAATACCATTACAATCAACACAGATCCATTTAATAGGAAGATATTTTTTGACCTGTTCCAAAACCATCAGGTGTGTTCTCTTGTATAACCAACTGAGTCAATGTGACCTTATCATTTCTGGTTGAAAGTGAGAGGTTAAAACTATTAACAGCACTTCGAGGAGGCTTGTATAGACCTGTCACTGTGCTGTTGGGTGTAAATCCTTTGTGCATCCAAGTGCGTTGTTCCATGTAACTGAGCAATCTGCAGCCTCTTACAGACGCTCGGACAGCCGACACTCACCTTGGGTTTGACGTCACGTGTGGTGCTGGTTGTGGCTGACAACGAGAGGCGGCTGCTAGGGGTGGTAGAGGGCCTCTTTGGGCCTGCGGTGGCTGTGGATGGTGCCCTTGCTGTGGTTGCTTTTCTGTCTGAGGTGAAGGTGGTGGAGGAGGGTGTGGGGCGCTTAGACGGGGCTGCGAGCGAACCACTGCTAGCAGCTGCGGAGCTTGGCCGCATTTTGGCAGCGGCGCTCGGTTTGGTCAACCCGGTACCAGACTGTGATGCAGGAACAGGCCAAACAGGATGGATGGATGGATGGACAGGGAAAATAAGGAGGGAAAACAAAGAGGACATGGAAAAATAAAAATAAGGATAATGGAGGATAACGGCAGCAGGCAGGCAGCAGTTCAACCTTAGAAATTAAATCAAAAACACGTGCTAAAAATAATAATTAGAATCACTTCTATTATTAACACAAGAGTATGCCTTGAATTAGCTCTGTAAACGTATGGATAAAACAAAGGGGTGGCAGAAGCATTAGCAGCATGCATGATACTAAAACGTTTACTTGAGGATGGGGTATGGGTGGGAGACAAACTCATTAAAAGATGGTGTGGATCCGGATCAAGGGGCGGATCCAGGATTAAATCAATTTGTTTATGAGATGTTGATGAGTGTTTTTCAGCATTTTCGATAATTTCTCTTCGAATAATTTGTGGCTCTTGATGAAAAAAAGCTGACATATTAAGAGGACTGATATATATATATATAGGGATCTACTGACTTTAAATGAGATTTAATAAGGTGACTGTTGGGCCTTGGAGGAGGTATAAACTATACTGAGTTCCCAAACAGTTTTCTGCTATCTTGTTATCAACTTTATAAAAGAACTTTAAAATACCATATTTATGGTATGGACCATAAATATGGACTCTTTAAAGTAAATGCATCCTTTAAGTATTTACTATTAAAACAAATCCTACCTTGGTCTTCTTGTCTGCACCTGCCACGTCTTTGTTGGGTGCCACGCTGCTTCCATTGGCTAGAGGTTTCGATTTCTTGACCTTCTCTCCTACGTCTGCCTTTGCTGCTTTGTCCTTCTTGTCATCCTTTTTCTCTACAGACTTTTTTTCATCCTGTATTTGGTCCTGCTTCTCTTGCTTTTCGCTCTTCTGCTCTGGTTTTTCTGCCGGCTTTTCAGATGGTTTCTCCACCTCACCCTCTTTCTCCATCTTCTGGGCTTTGTCCGCATCAGCCTTCTCTTTCTTGTTTTCCTGCACTTCAGCCGTCGCCTTTGTCTCTCTGTCAGTCTCCTTCGTCTCTCTGTCAGCCTCCTTCGTCTCTCTGTCAGCCTCCTTCGTCTCTGTGTCAGCCTCCTTCTCAACTTTGTCGGAACTGGTGTCGATCTTCACGGGTGTCGGCTGTGGCTCAGGGGTCTTCTCTACCTTGTCGATGTGCTCTTTGTCGTCCTTGATCGCTGTCTTCTCAAGCTTCTCAATATTTTTGTTCTCTGGTTTTTCTTCCACTTTAACCTTTTCACTTTTGTCCATTTTGTCGACATTCTCCATTTTCTCAGGTTTGCTCTCTACCTTTTCTTCCATCTCAACCTTTTCTACTTTCTCAGTCTTCACCGATATTTCTACAGATTCTTCTGCCTTGGTCATCTCATCCTCTTTCTGCTGCATTGACTCCACTTTCTCTGTCTCTTTTTCTTTTCCCTTTTCAGTCTCCTTCTTCATCTCCTCAACCTTTTCTGCCTGTTTGTCTGTCTCCTTCACTTCTTCTGCCTCTTTTGGTTTCACCTTTTTGTCATCCTCAATTTTCACCTCCTTCTCTTTCTCTGTGTCTGTCTGCTTTTCCTTCTCTGTTTCTTTCTCCACCTTCGCTGGAGTCTCAGTACTTGCGTATTCGACCTTCACACCTCGTTGGTCAGCTTTGTTCAGAGGTTCAAAGTGGCCCGTCTTCTTAACGCTATCCTCCAGGATCTCCTCCTTCTTCTCTGACATCTTGTCTGACTTCACTGGAGAGAAACATAGAAAATAAAGGTTTTAATTTTGAAATCTACAACCAATGAACTCATCACTTATAACCATCATGGACTAAATATAATTTCTCAACAAACACATATAGGAAAACATTGAAACTGAAACTCTCAGCAGGAAAATAAAGAAAACAAAACTGAAGCAGGAAACTTCTACCTCAATTTTATATAGTCATCACTGCAACTAAATTTATTTAAGCAACCAACCAACCAATTAATTCATTAATTAATTAACCAACCAACCAATCCACCAAACTTTAGCACCTTTAATACAGGTGAGTACATTTCAAAGTGCTTTACAACTGACTGATGAGCCAAGAAAAGACAAAAAAAGCTATAACAATAAAAAAAAAGTTTTATCCATGAATAGATGAATTAAAAGTCGATAATATGGGATTATAATTTTGATGATCCTAAAGATTCCAGTCAAAGATTTAATTCCCTACATATATATTACACAAAATACTTAACGTATAAAGCAAAAATAATATAGAAAATATTCAAGGTAAATGGACTGCATTTAAATTATGTGTTTCCAGTATTAACATCTTCTTAAAGTGCATCACACAAGCCACACACACACGCAGACACACCCACACAGAAACGCACACAGAATGCTCAATAAGCCATCAGGGGCAATTTTCAGTCAAGTATTTTGCTCAAGGACAGTTTGAGATGGAGAAGCTGGGGATCAAATGACCGGCCTTCTAATTAGTGGACTACCCACTCACCCCTCTGAACCACAGCTGCCTCCAAAAGGAAACCTGTGATTCAGATTCAGCCTCTTAGCTCTCACGCAGATTTCAGCTGCACAATAGCTCAGATTCAGTGTGGGAACACACACAGTAACAAGTTAAACAGAAACGCAGGAGGAGATGATGTACGGTGAATCTGCTGTTACTGAGTTCGATCTTTATCTTTCAACCACACACGTACACAGACGATCGCACAACAAAATAATATCGGACAGGAAAGGTTGTTGTTTTCTCCCTCACAGTCTAATCTCCCCTGGCTGCTTCCCCTCTCTGCCCTTGACAGATCGTCCCTCTGCTGTACAAAATCTTGTTGTTGTGTTCTCCATCATTTCCTGCAGCCTCCTCCTCTTCTTACCCCTCCATCATCACCGCCTTCAGGACCCCAAGCTTTTACATCAACCTGTTTTTTTTTTTTCTATTATAAGCCTTTTGCTATTTTAATATTTCCTCTTAGATGACCCACATGTAAAATCACTGCTGTTTTTTTAGATGCAACAGACTGATACAGCTGAAATGCACCAGCCCTTCATGTCATCCTCTATCTCGGTCATCTCTTCTACCTCTCCCCATCTGTCTGGACCAATCTCTACAGTCTCATGTCATCTGATAAGGCAGACATGCTGATGATGAAAACTGATGTCTTCCTGGTATCAGCTCAGGCTATAAAGTGAAGATGCATTTTGGACAAAAAGACAGAAAATACAGGACTTGGGCCCAAATCCATCTCTGAAATATCTGTCAAAATAAACTGCACCTGAACGCTTAATCCATGAAAACAACAATTTGGTTTTGGAAGTGTCATTAGTTATACACTTGCAGACATTTTCCTAAACCAAACTGAACCTGTTGTGTCTGCAGATGGGATCAATATAATGCAGAGCACATTTTATAAATGAAGCCAACTTTGTAAATGTAAGATATTCCACTACTGTTGTTCTGAAGACCATGCTGTGCGAATCAGGATGACGCTGCTGACCCACTAAACCAAAATATCACGCAATAAAAACAAGCCAAACGAAAACATTTCCCTCCTGTTGAGTCACTGAATGAAACATGCGCATCATCTGACCCCGGGAGATGATAACCTAAAAACGGGGTGAGCAGCTCACAGACGCAGCTACTGGCTCTTGTCAGGCCATGTTCCACGTTAGAGGCCGGATCCTCAGATGTCCACATGTTTAAAATGGACATGACATAATGGATTGTCTCTTTTGTCTTTAAGGAGACACTGATTCTGTTCTACAGATTTTGGAGGATAGATGCTACGTATCCTTCACTATCCATTGTGTGGTAGGTTTGCTTTCAGGTGAAGGAAGAGAATAGAGGCAACAAAGATTTGTATCTCTCCCACTTTGTCTTTCTTCTTTTGGAGGATAGTCATGCTTCAATTCTGAAAGCAGATTAACAATGCTCTGGGGGCTTTGGGGAATGTTAACAGGAAGTATCATGTTGCTGGGATCTCACTGAGCTATGCTGTGGGCTACAACCTGAGCTCCACGTTGTTTTTTTTGACATATTTGTTTACAAAGGGTCACCATTAACAATGCTGAATTAGCAGGTCCTATTTAGTGTAGATGTATATGTACGGACCAGTATTACTGTATGTCTGTGATACTGAGGAAATAAATGAGAATATCACATGATTCTCTCGCAACTTCTGGAGCCTTTAATTCGTAAGATCACAAAATGAATCTCGGAGCCCATCTGCTATCGTCTAATGATGAATTCACCTCTGGGGGCAGCATACAATATTTTGGGCCTTCAGGTGTAGACAGCTGATATCCAGGCCAAGACTTCTGTTTCAAAACTATTTATTGTCAGACTTGTTTATTTACACAGTGATACTTTTTGTAGCTTTTGGCCCAGGTGACATCTTGGCACATCTAAGAATTATCTGTATACAAATGCAAAAAAAAGCTGAAGCATTTCAATGTGTTCCACCTCTTTTGCTGTCCCCAGACTATTTACCTATGGCAGCCAAAGCCTGCTTAAATTTAATTGGTCGATCTAGAAACACACACCAGTAGCCCTCTGGCCCCAAAACGTTTTCCAAATGATTCTGCACATTTATATGAAGAATCTATTCATAGAGATGCATTTGTGATGGACAGTGGGGAAGATAACACCCTCAGAGAGTATTTAAAATGTGTCATCATGTCTTTGTATTCAGAAATGACAAGAGTAAGACAGGGTGATATCTGCCAGTGCACAACAATGAACTTCCTGCTGTTTTTTTTGGAACAATAACATGCATGTGTACCTTTCACCTCACACAGCATCTTCACTTCACATCTCTTCCTCCTCGGACTCATGGCCCATGGTTTGAAAATGTCTTCCATAGAATGTAAACTTAATCAAAATCATTTTCATGGTTATGCTTGGATTTAGTAATACGACCACTAGAGTGGGACAAAAGCCACAAGCATATAACTTAACAGGTCAGAATGAATAGATAATATAAGAATAGATAATCTCAATGTATTGTATATGGAGGTAAAAACTACTAGAACTAGTTTTTCAAATAGAAAAACTATGTGGTAACAGCAAGAAAGTCTATAAATTGTGAGGGACGTAAGGATACAGTTACAGTAAAGAAAACGTGTCATTATTTAATTCTCCCTCACCGTCACTCCTGTGACCTTACATGTTTCTGGATGTTCCTGGCAGACTAATTCAAATTCACATTCAGTCAAAGAGGGGAAAAAAACTTCCATCGTACGACTGAGAAAGAGGACAACCACAAAAAAAACAAGACAAAGAGAGTGAGAGTCAGTGTGGGAAACAGTGATTAGCAGGTTGGGGGTGAGTAGGTGGACAGAGATAAAGGAAGCACTAAGTAGGCACAGGAGAATTGATGGGGAGTGTTAATATATTCACTTTCTTAAGCTGGGCTCAGACTACCAATTTTAAAATGGGGTTGCATCAAATACCTGAGGAACAACTTCACAGAAATTCTCTCATCTCAAACATGCACTCACTACAAAAAATGAAATTAATTAGCGTCGCACAACCTAATGTCACCTCTCCGATGTGATCTCATCAGGAAGATGGTGCAAAGAATAAATACATGATGGAGACTGGTGTAGGAAGAGAAAATGCTTTGCTGTGACATAAAACAAAAGCAGAAGAAACTAGTCGGGATGAGAAAATGGTTAGGGACACGTGGTCAACAATAATTATCTGCACAGTTGCGATCGGTCTTGGAAGACACGTCGAACAGGCACTCGTATTAGCCATATATCGACAAGCCTTTCCTCCAACTCCACAGGGCACTGACGTAATCATCCCAATTTTAAATCCAAAATATCACACATCTTTGATAATTATCACGGTGGCCCTGATGATTTTGCAGGTAGATCAGCAGGTTTCAAAATGGCTGAACATCAGCACCAACAAGTGTTGCAGACTGTATTCCTCCTCAGATTCTGGGGGGGGGGGGGGGGGGGGGGGGGGGGGGGGGGGGGGGGGGGGGGGGGGGGGGGGGGGGGGGGGGGGGGGGGGGGGGGGGGGGGGGGGGGGGGGTGAGTCAGGTTAAAATCGGCCCCAAAATTCCTGCAGTGTGAGGCCGGCTTTATGCGTCCAATATTTAAAATATAAGTTTATAAGCATCTTAAGAAAGTGCTAATGTCAATAAACTTGTTGATGAAGGAGAGAGACAAGGAGGTCAACTCAGGGAGAGGAAAGAAAGGAACAAGATGAACGGATTGGGGTGTAAGGCTTTGACAAGAAGGCAGTGACATTATCTTACATAATAACACACAGAGACCCAGCACCTGAAGCAGTGACAGACATTAGAGCAAACAGAGTGGACACAAATAGGTGACTGTATATGAGGGAAACAAATACTGACCTAAATAACACGAGTCAACGCTGTGACAAGACAAAGGAGAGGGTGAAAAAACCACAGCCTTGGTTTTTCTACACTGTAAAAAACACTGAGAGACTCCAGAGATCAACTCGATCCTCTAATTAGAGAGGAAATCTGATCCGTGTCACAGCTGTGGAGAGCCTGCGGAAAATGGCTTCATTTAAGCAAACAGCAGGAGGAGGTGACACCCTCATTACAGAGACACACACACTCTCCTCTGTGAGTCTTTACCACAGTGGCCTTCTATCCTTTGTGCACAGCCCCTTGGTATAGAGCGTGACAATGACTGCCCACTTTTATAACGGCTCTGGTTCCTAAAGTACATTTCTAATTCATTTTCTCCATTGACATTTCAG